GTTTTATTTTGTGTCTTCTCTTTTTTATCTCAAACAATCTTAAGACACTTAATAAAGAATGATGAACGTTGTGCACCATAGGCCTTAAGTATATGGGAAATGGTGAGTGGGGGTTTCTCCTCACTTGTCTAGAGTGTTTAGTGTATGCCCTTTGGGCAATATGTGACGCATTCGCTCCTATGTTATAATCTTTAGTGCAACGTGAATCTCAAACAAATTCAATTCACTTTATTAAAAATCATAAACAAAATTCAAACCTTTTATCCTTCGGGATTTGTTTCAAGTCATTTTTCAAAAAAGAGTATGTTATTTTTTTGTTCTACTGCAAACAGGCATCGTCCCTAACTGTTGGAATCTGAATTTAACGTCGCTCATAAAAACACTTAATCAACCAGTGGTCTAGTTTACCCGAACTACGTTTGCTCTGATTTCTCATACCAGATGAGGATATGTAGGCACAAGACGACGATGTCTTGGCGAGCAACCTTTCCCCTATCACCCGTAGTTTCCTGAACTACGCTGACTCTGACTTTCCCATTGCACAAGGGAATACGTAGGCATAGGGAGGCAATATCCTATCGAGTCTCCTTTTTATTTTCTAGCCCCCATTTAGCAGTAGATTTTAGATAACACACCCTTTTGTTTAGACAACATGCATGGATCCCGTTGAGTATAACGGACGTGAGGGGTGCTAATACCTTCCACTCGCGTAACCGACTCCCGAACCTAAGATTTGGTTGCGATGACCTTGTCTTCTCCTTTCTTTTAGGTTTTCTTCGATCATTTCATTTCCCTTTCTTTGGTATAAATAACATTCGGTGGCGACTCTTTTGTTTGTTTCCGCCGGCCCCTTTTATAGTTGGGACACTGCTGGAATGTGGGCTCCGTCCCTGCACACACTTCGCTAAAGCTATAGGCCTCCGGGCCCCAGAAACACTGGATGCTTTCCTCCTCAGAGCTCAGTCGTACATTCTGTACGAGGAGAAGGAGGTTGCTAGCTCTTCCCGTGAGTCCAGGCACAAGGAGAATTCCCGTCCAAACAGGACCAACGCGCCCTCGACATCCCGTCGAGGAGATAAAAAGCGAGAAGACTGTCCCCGCGAGACCCGGGACAACAAGGGGCCCTCCGGCAGGTTCCACGAATACACTCCCCTAACAGTTTCGAGGGAAAAGATTCTCACTGAGTGCACCAACTTAGAATTTCTCCAGGAAGGGGCCCGATTCCCAAAGAAAATACTGGCCAAACCTAATACCGACAAGTCCAAATACTGCCGATTCCACAAGAGTCATGGGCATACGACGGAAGACTGCATCCACCTGAAGGATGCCATTGAAATACTCATCAGGGAAGGGCACCTGAAGCAGTTCGGCAAGCGAAAGGAAGTTCCTCGACCAGACGCCCAAAAAACCCAGAAGGTCGAGGAAGAAACACTTTTTTCCGGAGAAACCAGTTTGCAGGTCGCCGCGAGCATCTCACGACCTGAAGATTTTTGTGTTCCCAAGGGAATCACCGCCCCTCCATATTTTGCCACACACAACCCGTGGGAGAAATTCCCCTCCTCCATGGTCATCTCCGGAGGAGGTTTCAACAGAGTAACGGTAGGATCCATCAAGACGAAATTCGAGCACCTCATAAGCAACAGTTTAAACCAGAACTCCACCCTCGACAAGATCAGGTAAGAGTCCATCCGCATTTGGTTCTACCATGAGGAGCTCTTCGACGGGGTCCCCAACACCAACATCCCTCTGCTCGTTAGGGCTCAGATGGAGAATTTTGATGTCCGACGTATCCTCGTCGATCAAGGCAGCTTTGTCGATATTATGTACTTTCAGCTTTTCTCCACTCTCCAGCTGGATGAATCACATTTGAATCCATACGTAGACTCTGACATACGAGGTTTTAATGGATCAGTGACAAAGCCCCGGGGTTATGTTGAGCTGATCGTAACCTTCAGATCTACGGAGACGGCCAGATCAATCAAAGTACAATTCTTGGTGATAGATTACCCATCATTATACTAGTGCATCTTTGGTCGACCAACTCTGACCGAACTGGTGGCCGTACCTTCAACGGTACACCTGAAGATGAAAAATTACACCTCCAAAGGCCTTGTCGCAACTCTACACGGGGACATAGAAGACACGAGGAGATGTTTTGAAGCAGCGTCAAAAGGACTGAATGCAATCGCCTTCAGACCGAAGACTCCTGCCCAGTCGCCTCTGCTCAGCAGCAGCAACAACAACAAAATAAAAACACCAACAACACCAACAACACCAATAATAATAATAATAATAATAATAATAATAATAATAATAATAATAATAATAATAATAATAATAATAATAATAATAATAATAGTAATAATAATAACAACAACAACAACAACAAAAACAACAACAACAACAACAACAACAACAACACCAGCAGCAACAACAACAACAACATCAACAACAACATCAACAACATCAACAACAACATTTACCTCCCATTTAATTGAAAATAATATAAATATATTATATGTTGATGGTTTTCTAATGGGGATCTACAACTATAATATGGAGAAAAAAACATTTTAGATGAAAAATATGAAGAAAAAAAATGGAGATTTATTTTTGTTATAATAGTCTAATGATTTTAATTTATGTAAATGTATAAGCTGGATTAGAAGGAACAAAATAAAAAACATGTTGGCTGAAACATTATGATAGTAAAAAATATAACATTGCTATTCCAACACTTTTTTTTTTTTACATCAAATACATATATTATATATATATTGTTCATCGTATTTATATGACGAACAATGTTTTTTTAAATTAATTTTTTTTATAAACACTGTATGATTAGTACCCATGAATAATTATTTTAAAGTAATAAAACAAAGTTGATTAATGAAATATAAAAAGTTGATTAATAAAGTAATGAAGTTGATTAATAAATCCTCAAATATTAAAAATTATTTTTAGTGGTGAATCAAAATTAGATAATAAAAAGTAAAAAGTTGGTTAATAAAAAATAAAAAATTAATTAATAAATATCTATATATTAAAAATACTTTTTAACAATAAATAAAGTTGGTTTAAAAAATATAAAAGATTTGATTAACGAAGTTATGAATTTGGTTAATCATACAGTTTTATATAAATATCATTTAATTAAAAAAATAATTTTTTATATTTTTAATATATATATATATATATATATATATATATATATATATATATATATATATATATATATATATATATATATATATATATATATATATATATATATATATATATATATATATATATATATATATATATATATATATATATATATATTAGTTCATCATAGTAAAATACAGTAGGGCTGTAGAAAAGTGATGTAAGAATAACAATTTTTCTAAAAAGTTAAAATAAAAGTTACATGTAAAGGGTATTTTTGGGAAGTTAAACACTGGGGGTATAGAAGTATATAATGGGGGTATAAATATAATGGGCTGATTTTGTGAATTTGGGTTTTTTATTTTCCATAACACGCTCGCAACATTTCTTCTCTCGCTCGCAACTCAGCGCTTTGCCTCTCCTCTTCTCCCTTGTCGCTCTTCAACTCAGGTAATCATCGATTCCCTGATTTTTTTTTTCATGCGATTTTTCCTCGTTTTTGGTGCTGGATTAGGGTTTTAAAAGTTCTTATTTTTTATAGTTTCTATCCAACTTTACGTAATTGTTACTGTGGTGTATGATGAAGCTTTACACATATTTTTTCTGGTTATAGTTGATTCTTATCTTGTTGGTTCATGCAACGAAGATGCAGCATGAATTTTGTTATGTGTATACGTTAATTGATTGTTGAAGTTTTTCAATTCTTCTTTTTGTTTGAATTGAGTTTTTCCCCTTTATTCACGTTGGAGTTCTTAGTAGTTAGGGTTATATATTCTTGGTCACATATGAATGTTTCCCTATTTTAAGGAATATATTATTCTATCTGAAAGGTTGGAGGAGAGATTAGACTTTTAGTTCCATCTCTTAATCGGGTGTTTCGTCTAAATTTCCTTTGAGGGGGTTTGCAAATGTATGGATCATTGAAGTGTCAAACACGGATGTAGAAATCAGTAGGTCAGTACAAAGATTAGATTTTTAGCTCCATTTCTTGATACAATGTTTACTATAAATTTCCTTTGAGATACTAATGTTTTCATTTGATGGCATATGAAATGTATGGAGGATTGGGCTTTGATAAAAAAATATAGGAATCAGCGATTAGTTGAAATTTGTATAAGCAGGAATAGTGAGCGGTCAGTTATTGGTAAAGGAGTGAGTAGATTATTACTATAGGTTTGGCTTAAATCCTCTGTGATTTCATATTCCTAGAGAGTTTAGAGGCTGTGACTAAAGAACATCTGGTGTTTATGTAAGATAAAAATGTGTGTATTACTTTGAAAGTTTTAAGGGTTTATACAATGTATATGTTACTAAGCTTATGGAATGGAGCAAATGAATGTAACCAGGCCATTCAAACAAAACTTCAACTCTGTGTCTTGTGGTTTGCATTTTTTTCTTAGGGTCTTTTACACAATTTGGTAGTTTTATTAATTGTAAAATATGAATTTTACAATGATGTTATGTAAATTATGCAATTTAGTGATTGTTGGAACTAAATCAGAAACCTCGAACTACATATTGAATTTTTTTCTTCTCATTTCTTAAGTTTATCAAATCCAAACAGTTATTTGAAGGTGAAAAGTAGAAAATCTCAAAATTAAGTTAAATCCCCTAATCTGCTACACACTAAAAAACCTAAACTCAATTGAAGCAAAGCATTCAGATATCTACTCTACGCGTCTGGTCTTAAATTCAAATACACTTGGGTTTTTTGGCTTAGACCCCCATGTGGGCTAATGTTGAATTGGGTGGGCAAGTCCATTCCCAGCTGAAATACTCATAATCCCTTTCTTCACTATCACAGACAGCAGGTTCCATAATTTTTTATCTGAAGAGAAAAAGAGAGAGAGATGTCGGGTATGGGAGATGGATACGTGGGCACTGCCCAAGATGCAGTTCGGATCCGACGGCTAGAAAAACAGAGAGAAGCTGAACGTCGTAAAATCCAAGAGCTGAAAACCAAGTCTGCCACCTCCAATGGCCAACCCGGTCTCCTCCAATTTGGCTCCAGCACTTCTGAGGTTTCATACCACTTTCTTTTACTTTTTCTTCTTTCAATTTTCTTTATCACAATCACTAACTAACTAATCCCCCTTTTGATTTCACCATTTCAGATTCTTGAAACTGCTTTTAAGAAAGAAACTGTTGGTCTTGTCACCCGTGAACAGTATGTTGAGAAGGTATCTAATTATTATTATTGTTGTTATTATTATTATTATTATTATTATTATTTATTCCGTTCAATTCATTCATATGTCCATACTAATGACAGTTCTGAATTTGAATATGCAGAGGGTTAATATTCAAAGTAAAATAGAGGAGGAAGAGAAGGAGAAGCTTCAGAAGCAACTACAAGAGGAGGAGGAGCTTCAATTACAGAAACGCAAAAAGAGGAAGATCAAGGGAAATTCGAGACTATCATTTTCTGAAGATATTATTGACAATGATGCTCAGGAAGAGGAGGAGCCACATCAAAGTAATAATATAGAAACAAATGGAGGAGTACGGTGTGGTAAGCTTGGTAAAGACCCCACCGTCGAAACTAGCTTTCTACCTGACAGGTGCGCCACCCTCTCTTCTATCTTCAATATATTCCCATTTTTTCTTTATTTGTTGCTTTGTTTGTTTCTCTAACGTTTGGGCATAGGAGTGCTGAGCATTTTGTTCAGTGAGCGAGAGGCTGAGGAACAAGCTGAACGTGAAAGGCTGCGCAAACAGTGGCTGCGTGAGCAGGACCAAATTCGAAGTAAGTCTGCAAACTGTTGTTTTATTGTAATGGTAGTTCACAATTTTTTTTCAAAAAAAGGATAAATGGTTGAAAAGCACAGCTTGTGGAATATGCTTGCTTAGGGAAGAAAATAAGTGTAATTGCTTATTTTCTTCTACATGCTTAATTGCCTCTTAACTCTTGTTTATTCATGAATATATTGTTCCTGGGTTTCAGACGAGCCTCTTCAAATCACATACAGTTATTGGGATGGAACTGGCCATAGGCGTGCCATCCAGGTAAGTGAAGGCAACTTACTTTTTAAGTCCTAAGTAAGTGTCTATTTGCAGATTTACTATATAATGTTATATCCCGGTGTATTTATCATTTTGTAATTCAGGTACGCAAGGGTGACACCATCGGAGAGTTTCTTCGAGCAATTCAACAGCAACTTGCACCTGAATTCCGAGAGATTCGAACAACCTCAGTTGAAAATCTGCTTTATGTGAAAGAAGACCTTATCATTCCTCATGTACGTAGACCAAATTTGTTTATAATTTTAGCAAATCTACGTACATCTTTGTGTGCGGACATGTGCCCAATTTTTTAATTCAATCATATTTTTTTACTTACCTTTTTCGTGCATATACAGCAACACAGCTTCTATGAACTAATTGTGAACAAAGCAAGGGGCAAAAGTGGACCGGTATGTTTCTTTTATTCTTTATTCTTGAATTGGTTGTGTTTATTATATTTACGAAGTTTCTACAAATAATACATTCATATATGCATTTTATTCCTATGGAGAACGTATATAACTTCCTCACACAGTCACACCCTAATTAACATGTTTGTTTTTGGCTATGCTACAAAAAAATCCCTAGTTCTCCCCCTCCAAATGGTTCTTAAATTGAAAAAAGAGAATAGTAGAATTTTTTTTAAATATTTTTATCTAGTTTTTGCTGATAGGGCTAATTTTTAATATGGTATTAGAGCCGGTTTAAGGACTGCAATGCGGACATTTGACTGAGGCCCACGCTAGGCGTGAGAGTGAATGTTGAATATGAGTTTCTGTTGTTGGAGTTTGTTTGAAGTCCCACATTGCTTAGGTATATGGGTTGTTGATCATATAATATGAGAGCAACCTCACCCTTTGAGCTAGCTTTTGAGGGATTCAGAAATATTTAACATGGTATCAAGAGTCTCGTTTAAGATTCAGTGGGTCACATACTATTAGGTTTCCACTATCGCGCCACCCACAATTTATTTCCATGCTCCAGATATCTTGGGCGTTGGGCGTGAGGGGGGGTGTTAAGAGTCCCACATCAAATAATATATGGCTTGAAAATGTGCTTATAAGTGGGGGCACATTCTTCACCCTAAAAGTCAGTTTTGTATGGTTGAGTTAGGCCTAAACCACAATTCTTAACATATTTGTACTTTGCGTACAATTCAAAAGTCGGTTTTGTATGGTTGAGTTTGGCCTAAACCACAATTCTTAATATCTCTTTACATTGCGTACAATTCAAAACTGTAAACACGTGACAAATGATTGAAAGAACAAGAGAGTTGTGACAAATCATGACATATCATATATAAATTAGTAGAAGGTGCGATGCAGAGCTGAGATTTGTACTGGTGCCTATCTTAGCTTATGAACTAAGTTTTTCTTCTTCTAAAGGTGTAGGATTCTATGTAATAGGGTGGAACAATTGAATGATATGTCATTGCAGTTATGAATTAATTCTTCATGGTTGACATGAGAAAATTCATCCTACGCATGTAGAAGTGTCTTTAGCACACTAGTTGTGTTGAATGATAACTTGTGGTTTTACTTTTGATCTGTAATCTATATGGCTTTGATGTTGCTGGCATCTCATATGGCTGCTGCTAAAACATTGCATTCCATCTCCACTGCAGACAAAAATGTCATTCACATGATGTCATTAACTTGGAAGATTTTGCTGATAATCTTTTAATGATTTGCAGTGAATTAACCTTAATAAATTTCATATATCTATACAGCTTTTTCATTTTGATGTGCATGAGGATGTGCGCACAATTGCCGATGCCACTATAGAGAAGGACGAGGTACATTTTTTACCCAGTCATTGCAATTATTTATTTGAAATTCAAGTTTACAAGATAGTGAAAACTAGACAGACACACGTTTGTCCCTGTGTGTTCTAGTAAAACTTGTTTTCTATCTTTTTGCTCTAGTCATCCTAATCAGTTATTTGTATCTCAATCAACAGTCCCATGCTGGAAAAGTTGTAGAAAGGCACTGGTATGAGAAGAACAAGCATATATTTCCCGCTTCAAGATGGGAGGTACCTTGTTTCTCTTTTCCTCTCTTCAATAAACTCAGATTAGACTGCTTGTTCATGTCGTAGGCTTGTAGCAGCTTATGATTCAGTTTACAATTGTTTTAACTGTCTATTGCAGATATATGATCCAACAAAGAAGTGGGAGCGTTACACCATCCATGGGGATTAAACTTTTGCTTCCAAATAACTTTATTTGGATTTGCTGCTTCTGAGTTTTAATCTGACCTTCAGTTGAGCTGATTACGCCTCAAATCTCACCTTGATAGTGCCGGTTCAATTAGTCAGATTTATAGCAATTCCAGTGTTTTAATCTTTATTACTATAATTTATTGTAGAAACTTGGACAATTAGTAAGATTTTTTTTCTTCTTACATTGCATTGGAAATCTGACAGACTGGGCATCTAAAATATGCAGACTTTTTATGTGCTGTAAGGTTTAAGGGATGCTTTTTTAGCTTTAGACTTTTTCTTATTTTCCATGTATTACAAAGAGTGATGACAAAACCTTTTATATTTGTGTTGGCAATGGATGGATAAACAAAAAGTATATTTGTGTTGTTGTGTGTCTCCCCCATACTTTTTTTTTGTGTTGGCATCAGTAATAAATTGCATTGAAAATTATTGATATTAAGTGGTAATTTTTATGTAATAAAAGGATATAATTATTTTATAGCATAATGGAATGATTTGATTTTCAAAAAATAATTATTGACATGAAATTGATGTCAAATATAAGTGAGTGAATGCTCAATAAGAAATCTCCTTTATTTATCTTAGCAAGAAAAGTATTATAAAATGGATGGACATTAGATTTAAATAAAAATATTACGAGAAAAAAATAATAACTAAAAAAAGATAGTAACTAATTATTTTATAGTTTAAATAGTGTTTTCGTCCATATAAGTTAGCGAGGTTTTGATTTTCGTCCTGAATCTTTCTTTTATCCAAGTCTTTATCCAAGTCATTATATGTTTATTTTTCTTTGTCGTTAGTCTCTATTATGAGTGAACCGTTAAAAAACGACGAGGTGGCAGACGGTAAGGACTTGACTTATGTTTTAGCATTTAGCATTTGTTTTATTTTTTCTTTAACAAATGTGGATATAATGTTTTTTTTTCAAAAAAACATGTCATCAAAACTCATTTCCCTATTTTCTATTTAGTCTTTGTAAATTAGGGTTTCACATTTAGAAAGCATTTCAGGGAAGGTGAAGACGACTGGTACAAGAGCTTGTCTGGGCGAGGTGACTGAGGGTGACGAAGCTACAATCGTGATTGAGCGACCTAATTGAATCTTTCAGGTATGGCATTTTCAGTGAGCATTCATTATGGGAGAAAATTTGTTAAGGATAGTGTCGTGTACTACTTAGGTGGGGATAAACATGTAGTAGACATAGACCTTGATAGGTGGAGCTTCTTTGAAGCAATTGCTATTGTGAAAGAAATTTGCAACCTTAAGTCCACTGATTATTGGCTATGGTGGTATAACATTATATCGGGTAAGCATGTAAGGATAGTTAGTGATATTGATATTGCTGAGGTTTACGAAAAAGATGTTGAAACTAATTGTAGTGTGGATTTATTTGTTGAGCATAAAGTAGTTGTAGCTGATAATGTCGTTAATGATGTTGATAATGTTAATGATAATGTTGATAATGGTAATGTTGATAATGTTGATGAGGTTGATAATGTTATTGAGGATAATGTTCATGATAATGTTGGAAATGGTATTGTTGATAATGTTGATGATATTGAAGCCGATAATGTTATTGAGGATGATGTTCATGATAATGCTCGAAATGTCAATGTTGATGATATTGAAGTTAATAATGTTATTGAGGATGATGTTCATGATAATGTTTGAAATGTCAATGTTAATGGTGATTCTGACAATCTAAATGTTGATGAATCTGCCAAGGTTGATGACAATCTTGATGGTGTTGAAGAAGATGATAGTGATGATAAGGAACATGTTTCTGTGCCTCCTAAATTAGTTTAGTCTGCTACTGACTAATTGACTTAATGTGTATGTTATCAGCTTTATTGATATTGACTTAATTGTATCTGTTTCTATTATGTCTTTGTAGGCAAAACAACCCAAACAAAAGATCGTAAGAAAGTTAACATTGAGGAAAAGTGATAAAGCAAGAGTACTCAGATGTAAAAAGCTCAAGGGAGAAGGAAGTAACCATGCACAAGGGTACCATGGAAATTGAAGACATTGGACTTGTTTTGAATTATGTTTTTTTGAACAACATTACTACAATGGTGTACTTAAGCCTTATTGTTTTCTATTATGTATTTTGATTATAATGCTACTTTGTCTTTAGCCTTAAAGTTTGAACCTTTGTGTTTTGGATACAAACATGTATTTTGGCTTAAGCCTTTATGTTTATGATACCATATGTATTTTGGATACATTATCAAGTTTGTTTTATGCACTTTATCAAGTTGTTTTATGCACAATTGAAATGGCCTATTACCAATTTGGCTTTTATTCAAATTATCAAGTTTGGTTTATACATAATTCAAAACAGGAGGAGCAATATAATTGCATACATAGTATTGTCCAAAACCAAAACATCTTTTTCATTCATCATATGATACAAGGACCAATCTCAAAATACATTAATGTAACAAGAACTAAAAACAAAAAACAGAAACAGACACAAACAAATATGATTCACCATCATTTGTGATAAGCAAATAAGAACCTCTATGACACAACCAACACTAACTTCAAGAGAGTCACTTTTCTCTTCTCCATCTCCAACTTAATCTTCATATTTGTCTTTTTGCCAATCTCATTCTCCTTAACAATGGACCCTAAATCCTTCAACATTTTCGAGCAGTTGCAACCACTTGAACTTCTAAGATCACTAGCTGGATTTTGTTCAAGGTCATCGTCCCAAATGAACAACTTGCAACCAGACATTAACCCTGAATTTTGACACATCAAAATATTCCTTTAGAGTTTTCAACAGAGTTTGACATAAACATTTTCATGCTTCTATTGCAATCAAAAATCGGTGCTTGAATGTGATGAGAGTTGGCAGACGAAAAAGAAGACATGGATGTTGAATATGCAGAGAGGAACAAGAAGAAGCAAATGGCGAAGACGGAGGGAAGGAGAAGAAAAGAAAAATGTAATTTTTTTTATTTGGTCCCTTTTTAATCAACTGCAAATACTATTTTCACGTGTGTTCTAGAAAAAAAAAACAAATGCTGAAACATAATTCAGATTATCACAGTCTACCAACTCAACTTTTTTTTAACGTTCCGTTGACAGCAGGGACTGAATCCAACAGAAATTAGACATATCAAGACTTGAAGAAAAAAAATTCATAGACAAAAATAAAAAACAAGCTATCTTACATGGACGAAAATATTATTTAAACTTTATTTTATTAAAAGGATGTGAATATATTTAAGGAAAATTGCATTGATATTTTCTAAAATCTCTTTAAACAATAGTCATACCCTCTGTGTTTTTTTTCCAACAATGCATGTATCTCTTTTACTAAAAAAAAAAAGTTGCTCAATTTTTTTTTCATTTCACTTTATGTCATTTATTCAACAAAAAAAAAAATAGAATGCAAACTAGAAACATAATTTTACCTTACACAAACCAGATATATGACTGCACTTGGAACCCAAAATAATACGATTGCACTTGGAACCAAAAAAAAACATAACTGCGCCTCTGCAAATTAATATTTTTTCATAAAAAATTACTAATAAAAAAATTATCTACAAGAATTGAACCTCTCAATTTTTTATTGTTTGAATTAATCTTTATCAAAAATAATTTTTGTCAAATAGTCTAATTGTTAAAATTCACTTTAAAAAATAAACAAATAATCACGGATATGAACAAATAAATCCAATGGGAGTGAGGGAGTGAAGGATATGAATAAATATAAATGGTGAAATAAATGTGAGGTGTTCCTTTTAAATATACGAGAGATGAGTATATTCAAAAAAACATCAAAGATTAATGCGATTTCTCCTTATATTTATTTATTGTTACTGTATAATTTTAATCATTGGATGTAATTTTTTTATAATAATAATAATAATAATAATAATAATAATATTATTATTATTATGAGAATTTTTTAATCCACCATTTAATACTTTTAGACACTTAGTGAATTTCTTTTATGCTTCCTGCCTCTGGAGATACACATCCGGACGCGCATTTTTTTTGTCAAAATTTGATTGTTTTTGAAGCTACATTTACGGAATAATTTTCTACTGGTATACGTTGGAAAAAACTTTAAAATAATTCAGTTTAGAAAAAACTTCAAAATAGTCACTTTTTATTCTTATGCCTTATTTATGCACTTATGCCTTTTATTTGTCTATTATGATGTGCTTCTATATTGAGTTCTGATTTAAAAATGTAACAGGAAAAGTTTCGGATATGCATCTACAAAAGGTTCTTAATTTTGCAGTTTCAGGAAAAATTTCGGAGATACACCTCCAAAACCAATAATTATGCGGTTGTTCCGTGGATATAACTTCGGAAAAAAGATTGACAGAAAATGGTTGGTCCATATTCACCTAGGTTTTCTATAAATTTGAGGTTTTATTTGTTATCTTTTCCACAAATACAAAAATGTCTCAATTGTTTGAAATCAAGCTCCGTTAATATGTCGCAAGTGTCTCTTTTTCCGACGGCAAAACACTCGGGAGGACGTTCAAGCTAATGGATCTCACCCCCTCGTCGATATCATAGACGAGATCCAATATCGTCTATCTTACAATGATAAATGAAAGGCTGTGAAACTTGAGTATTGTTCACATTCGGTTGACAACAAAAGGAACATTGTTTACAATAAGTTTGAACTCAAGAATCAAGACGATGTTAGGGCGATGTGGCGAACGATATATCAATTTCGAAGAGAAATTTTGCTCGAGTTGGAGGCAATGGTCTAAAGTACGGTAGATGACATCTTAGAGATGTGCAAGCGTCCACCGGATTATTGAAATATAGTATTTAAATTTTTGTCGAAATCATCAATGTAACGCCAATTTTATTTTATAAATGTTGATTTTATCGTTGCAATGTTGATTTTCTGGTTTTTTAATTCTGTGTTTTCGTATATACGCATACGAAAATATTCTGTAGATACATCTCCGAAATCAGAGACGCATTTTTGTCACCACGCATGGTGTCTAAGAAGTATAAGGGGTGTCATAAGAAACTCTCTAATAATATTTCAATGGAAATGGACTTTTTGTGTTAAAAAAAAAAAGATAAATGGGTTTGTACTAAAGCCCAATGAGCGTAACCCAGAGGCCTAGGTTAACACATCAGCATTACAAAACCCTAATTATAAAAAAACGAAACGAAAAGCCTAACGAGTTTTGTTCTCCCAGTCGAAAACCCAGAAGCGGCCGAAGCAAGCAACAGAATCAGCGCAACAATGGTAAGTTTGTTTTCTTCTCCTTCCGAAATTCCAATTGAAGAGTATCACCGATCTCCGATCGAGTTGAAATTGAATCTGATTTCGATTTTTCAATTTTGCAGGCGGACGTTGAAGTCGATGCAACAGCCGCGGCCGGGGTTCCAAAGAAGAGAACGTTTAAGAAGTTCAGTTTCAGAGGCGTCGATTTGGATGCACTTCTCGACATGTCCACTGATGAGCTCGTCAAGCTCTTCAGTGCACGTGCTCGTAGAAGGTTCCAGAGAGGCCTCACCAGGAAACCCATGGCTCTCATCAAAAAGCTTCGCAAAGCGGTACAATTCTATTTTCCTATTCGTAGTTTTCAACAAAATTCGATAAATCAACATTATACTATGTCAATTAGTACCTTTAATTTTCATAATCTGAATTTTTTCAATAGATTGTTGTTTATTTTGATGGATGTTATGTGAATTTTTGGGATTGAGTAGTTTAGGGATTCATTTGTTAATTTGTTATTTTGTACTAGGTCAATTCGTCCCTTAACTTTTCAAAATTGCAATTTCGTCCTTTAAATGCATAGGAGATTATTCAAGTTAATATGCAATTTTTTTTTTATAGATTGTTGATTTTGACTGATGTTAATTGAATATACTTTGGTTGAGTAATTGTTTTCATTAAAGTTCTTCAATTTAGGGTTTCAGTTAGTTTGTGATTTTAGATACTATTTTGTGTTTGTGATTTTAGATACTATTTTGTGTTTTTGAGGATGTAAGCTGGCATAGTTGCTTAGAATTTTTAGGCCTGAAATGCTAATATATTATTGTTCCTTGATTTTTGAATATATGATTCATTTATTATTTTCTTAAATATAGGGATTCGTTTATTATTTTTTTAAATTTAGGGATTTGTTTATTATTCTTTTAAATTTAGGGATTCATTTGTTATTTTCTTAAATTTAGGGACTCATTAGTTATTTTCTTTAATATAGGGACTCATTAGTTATTTTCTTTAATATAGGGACTCATTAGTTATTTTCTTTAATATAGGGACTCATTAGTTATTTTCTTTAATATAGGGACTCATTAGTTATTTTCTTTAATATAGGGACTCATTAGTTATTTTCTTAAATATAGGGACTCATTTGTTATTTTCTTAAATATAGGGACTCATTTGTTATTTTCTTAAATATAGGGACTCATTAGTTATTTTCTTAAATATAGGGACTCATTTGGTATTGTGATTTTAGACACTAACTGTGTTTTTAGAATGTGAGCTGACATAGTTGTTGCTTAGAATTTTTTAGGGCTAAAATGCTAATTCATATTGTTATACCTTGATTTGTGAATTGAATGTAGAAAAGGGAGGCACCACCTGGTGAGAAGCCAGAACCTGTTAGGACTCATCTTCGTAACATGATTATTGTACCCGAGATGATTGGAAGCATCATTGGAGTGTACAATGGAAAGACGTTTAACCAGGTTGAGATCAAACCTGAGATGATTGGGCATTACCTTGCTGAGTTCTCAATTTCATACAAGCCTGTTAAGCACGGTAGACCTGGTATTGGTGCTACTCACTCCTCCAGGTTCATTCCTCTCAAGTGAATTATTCTTTTTAGGGGAGGTTACCCTTGTATTTTGCAGTTTATTTTGAAGGGAGAAACCTGAGATGATTTTGTTTCTTATGTTTAGCGTATTTTATTTTGAGTGCTTGTTAGTATAAACAATGTTTTGTTAATGACTTAATTATTGAATTTCAGCATTTAGGCTTGTGTTTTGTTTATCTTAAGTTGTTCTTATGCAATGATACTGAAATACTTGTCAAGTTAACATATTTCAAGTTTTGAGAGAAGCTTAAATATAACACGAATGAATCCGAACATCAGAATGTGTTTTTGGATCATTCTTTGAGGTATTTATTGAACGTCTCTTTGGAATCCGAACATGAAACTAATTTCAGATACATCAAATGATTTTACTACTACTCTTTGGGAATGTTGACCCGAACTCATTATTCCGAACTCATTATTCTGCACAACAATGTTGCATTGTTTTTTTTTTTTAGTAAAACTTATAATAATTTCTTTGTTATATTGAGTTTTTTTAGAAGGTCTACATGTTCAATTTTTTTCTTCAAAATCAACATTACCTTCAGAATGTTTGTTTCAAGTTGACTGCATGCAAACAAAAATAGGAATTTATTTGTTTAATCTTAACAAAGAATCTAGAAACCAGTATATGAGAATGACACAAGTTTGATATGGTTTTAACAGAGTTTGATAAGCTAAATATTTGTTTTTTTAATTATAGTTGGGTTTCATTCAAAATACACAACTGATTATAATAGTCATTTGATTTTTTAATTATTTGTCATTTTAAAATATCATTGCACTTTAACTCATGGAATTACTTCACTATCTAGTAGTATTATTTTTTTAACTAATACTCATTTTATCTTTAAAATCATCAAATTAGTTTAAGAGGGGATCGCCCTTTGGCATCTTAGAAATAGATAAGATACAATTTGAAGAATTTGCGAATAAATCCCGGCTTCCACCAAAATTATTTCTCCCCTAGATTAAGAACAAATAGAACTTAGATAAGAAATAATTAATTTTGTTCCTATTATTCAACCTTTTATCTCATTTAATTTATTCGTTTATTGCATCCAAAAATTATCAATATGCTAAATTTTAATTGTAATTCGGCGTGATTGAGCAAGACTGTAAAATAATTTTATATTGTTAGGACATCTTCATTTTCATTATATGCTGTGTTTTTTAATTAAAAATATATCTTCTCTTTATTTCAAATAAATAGTTAAATTAATACAATATTTTTTGGTTCAATAATTAATTATATTAATTTGAATAAAAATATACACAGTAATACATATAAATAAAAAAAGTTAAAATTTTCTTCTTTAAAAATTGATTCTCATTCAAGAATGTATTTATTTGAAACTATAATTTATATTAACGTGCCTTTATTAAAATTGATTATTCAATTTATTTGTATATAAATTTATATAAATACAAATTATTTTACATTCAACTTACTTTTAATCATAATCAATTTTACAAAATCACTTCATTTAAAATCAACTGAGAGAATAATATATGCATTTAATATCTATTTTTTGGAGTGATATACAAAATAATACATGAATTTCAGTAATTCAATAAGTAAATTTTACTATATTAGTTTTTCATTTGTGTATATCTTTAGAGAATTGCTATTAGAAAAATGCTATTCTTACACTCTTTCTTACACCCTACACCCAATTTACTGTTCACAAATACGTGAACAAATTTCCCAAAATATGGTTAATAGTATGTATTTTATTGGTTAATGAAGTAGTGAAAGTGGTTAATAAATTATAGGTAAAATAATTGGTTAATGATGTAGATTTTTGTGGTTAATGCAACTGTAAAATTGGTTAATGCGCAATCTTATATTTGTGTTATAAAATAAATTTTAAAAATAAATATTTTTTTTTAAAAAAATTAATATTTTAAAAAAATATATTATTTTATTAAAAAAAACACTGTTCACCGTATAAATACGGTGAACAGTGTATACGGTGTAGGAAATGGGTGTAGAAAGTGGTGTAAACATAGCATTGCTGTTGCTATTATCACAACACATTTCTTACACCGTAGCTCTACACCATGTAAAATACAGCAAGGTATGTGTTGATTTGTATTAAAAAAATGAAAAATAATTATTAAATATAACAAAAAGAACCAAACCGTATAAAAGTACGTTGTAGGTGTCATAATTAAGTGTAGGAATTCATTGCTGATATCTTTAATAAATGGAACAAACTCGATTTTGAAAAAACCCTGCTAGTCAAATCAGAGTATCAATAGTTCTTTCATTATTTGATATGTAATCATCACCAAAATGTATTCTTTGGACTAAGATTGATAAAAGTCGCATAATTTCAACATTTCATGTAGTCATGCTTTTCTGACTGTGTAATTAAAATCTGACAATTCTAATTTTAAAATTTGTATTTTCAAATTGTTAAATAAAAAGTAATTTTTTTTAACAATGGATTAAGACCTAACGATTATTATTAATAGGATAAGTGCGTGAATACCTACAAATGATTAGTGTAGGTGATCAATTTTCGTATTCTTTTGTGTAGCAACTAGCAATATTTTGATTAGGCATTACAACAAAGAGATGATTTTTATCTTTTCTAAATTCAAATTTTAAATTTTAAACATTCCCCCGTCTCAAATTTTATTAGGGATGAAAAATTAAAACTCAAACTTGTTTAAAACGGGTTTGGTTTGAGTTTGGACATTCTCACCCACTACCATTTATTAGTGAAATCAATTTTTTTTAATTAAAATTTTCATTTTTTTCATCATTAAATTACATTACAAATAATAAAACAAAACAATCTCAAAAAATTATGCATATATTTCAAATATTTTAAATAATAAATACAAATCAAATTATTAAAATATTGACCACATATTTAATATTCTAAATTATATAAATTAAATAATAAAATACACAATGAAATAAATGGGGTGGATTCATGATGGATACTTGTGTCCCCATTATCCAACTCATCCCCATATTTTATAACCAGAAAAAATTCAAACTCAAACCCAGTCAAAACGGGTTTTTCCCGTCAAATTCGAGGCGGGTACGAGTTATGTTGCCATGCCTAACTCTTAGGGGTGGCAAAACAGGCCATGGCGGGTTGGGGTAGAATTTTGTGTCCGCCTACCTACTCAACTCACCCCGCTTTAAGTCCGCCTCACCTTAAGCCCGCAAAAAAAAAGGGTTGGCCCGCCAGCCTGCCAATCTAGTTATCAAGCATTCCAAATATTTATTTTGTTTGGTTGAAGATTAATACTTAAATTATAGTTATGGAATACTTGTTGATGATTCTATTTTATACATTTATTTGTGAATATATGCAATATTTTATGTAAAATTTGTTAAAATGATGCTTTATAAAAAAATATTCTAAAAAAAAGTGAAAAATTTAATTGAAATGTAAAAATAAGCTAAATAATCTATTAAAAAAGATTGGCGGGCAAACCGTCGGCTGCTAACCCGTCACCTCGGCGCAGCAGACTATATTTTTAAGCCCAATTTTACTTGGCAGACTTGCCCGCCCCGTCTCCTTTTTTGACGTTCTTAAGGCGGGATGGGGAGAACGGCCCGTTTTGCCACCCCTACTAATGCTAATGCGGTCGTACCCTTATTTTTTCAAATGCTTAATACTTTCCCCTTTATTTTTCATCAACCATTTTGCACTTTTGACCCTCACTGGTGTTTTTTATTTTGAAGTTGTTCAAACTGAAAATGTTAGACTTAGGATTGTATAATCTTGTATGAATAATGGGTAAGACATCTCAATATTGAAAAATGAGTCATCAATGGAAGTTATGCCAATAAGTGATATCAAATTCAATCTGAATGTGTCGTAATAAATAAACTACAAAAAAAATTCTATAGAAAATTTGTTGCATCTAACTTTTCTTCCTTTGCCTAATCGATTATTCTAGAATCGTCGTATCTCCTTTCACAGTTGATAGCAACATTGATCCCCCTTTTACTTCAAAATTCAATGGATTTTATGATTATGGATTATATTGAAATAGAACTTGCTCAAATCAAAATATTACTAGAGTGTTTGACATGCCACAAGTGTACGAAAATATCAAAATAATAAAAAGAGTGATCGTTTCTCAGAGACTAATTCGAGTACCGAATTCTAAAAGTTCTAAGTTTATCCAAGACAACCAATTTTATAGTTGTTTTGTGAATAATCAAAAAATGGTTTTATTAATAACTATAAAAAAAAATCTATGAAAGTGATTCAAGCCTATGACTTCACTCATACAAGTTTGATTCAGATTATAACGAGAATCTTGTTTATAAAGAATAATATAATTTAGTAGTAATGTCCATTTTCGTCAGTGCATTATTGTTTCCTAAAATAACGAGTTACCTCCTTTCATAACATACCACGTTCATTTAGAAACATGTAAAACTGCATCTATTTAAAAAAGAAAGTATTTCTCAATTGATTTTGAGACAATTTCGTTGCCTTAGAATCAACTATTCAAATTTCTAAATCAAGTAACAGTTATACCCTTTCAGCTTATAATCGATACCCAAATATTCTTACTTCTATAGGAAAGTATTCTTTAAAAACAAAAACATTGAAATAAACAAGGCATTTTCGTTATTTATCATAATCATACAATTTGCATTAGGTCTAACAATTTGACAGTCCTTATGTCTTAGATTCTAAAAAGTCTACTCAGACATGTTTACTAATAACATAAAATAAACAATATACAACACAAACATGTTCAAGGTAATGAGACTTCAACAAAAGTACAACAACTTGCAAAAATAAAAAAGTGTAGAAAATAAAGATTAATAATATGATAGTATGTAAAAAGTGGCATGTATTTTTCTCAAGATTACGTATCTATTTATAAGCTTAAAATTCAGTAAGAATTACTTAAATTCGTGTTAAGAGTCTTAGATGTAGAGTCTAAACAGTCAAAACATTAAGAGCCTTTAATAATCTGTTGTAAAAAAATGGAATCCGAGATAGATAC